TCTCACTCTTGCTCAGGCTGGTCTCAAACTCCTGACCTTTAGCAATCCACCTGCCTTGGCCTCCCAGAGTGCTAGGATTACAGGTGTGAGCCACCGCGCCCGGCCTTTCTTATATCTTTGAAAGACAAATATTTAATGTCCTCAGGTGGTTTGAACCTAATAGTTCGAATTTGGTCTTTTTTGCTTTAAGATATTATAGGAGTTTCCTAGCATGATTTTATGTTAGCTTTCTCAAAGGGCAGAAATGAGGGGGAAGTGAAAGGGAGTTCCTTATAATTGTGACTTCCAACTTAGAATGAGGTTAAAAAGAAAGAAGGATGTTATAGGAAGCCCACGAAGGGAAATACTGTCTCCAGTCTGACCGTACCTCTCCTTAGCATTGTACAGTTGCAGGAAAGAAGACTTAAGGGGGGAAGAAGGAGTTGGCTTTGGGGGTTGAGAGAATTGTCTTTGGTGTGTATATACTTTTAGCCAATGGTTTCCAATTCACATTTTAGCTTTCATGAGTATGAACTAATTATTGCCCTTGAAGAGCTCTCATTTCAGTGAGCGCAGGGACTATTGGCTGGCAGTTCTACTATGGAATAAAGGTTATATATAGGTATGTCATGTCTCATCATTTGGACAAATGTTTCGTTTCAGATCCAAGAGAATGAGGCCTATGAGACTCACCTTAAAAGTGTTTTAGTATTTTATTTATAACACACACACTCAAAACCAAATCAGTACTAAGCCTAGTAAAATGCTAATAGGTGAAAGCTGCTTTGAATAGGACTTCATTAAAATATGCTTACATTTAAATAAGAATGTGAACCGTAAACTGTTCTATTTTGGACTCTGGAATATTTCTTATGGGTTCATTAACCTTTTTTTCCTCCTTCCTATAGAACTGGCTAGATCCTGCAAAAAAAATACAGAGACAGCTGCGAAGTAAGTATTTAACTAATCATACTTGGAGGTTATTAAGTTAATCTTTATCTATTTCTACCTTTAATAACATTTATAGGAATATAGAGGTATGTGGATACACTGTTTGTAGATGTACTGGAGTGAAGACTCGAACACTCTTTTCAGTTCTCTGAGATCTTTGCTGTCTCTGCTCTTCGTTGGTTCCATAGTCAAAGGCCACTTGACTAGCTCTTTGAATCTAGGTTTCTAATTAGGCGTACTTGTCCCTTTCTTTCCGTCTTCTCGTAGAATCCTCTAATGACTTCAGATGTCCCACTCTAACTAGCAGCTTCAGCTCCCTCCTTAGCTTCCGCCTCTGCAGGTTGTGTTGCCTGTGGCTGGCTTCGTGATATCTGTGCCCAGACACGTTATTACCACAGAGAATCTCTGATAGGGGATCTGGATACTTAATTTACTTCAGGGTGTGTGAATGACTGAAGCAGAGAAGGCAGGCAGCCACAGGCAGCTAGGATTTTTAGTCTGAAGAACGAAATCTGAAGACTGGAAAGTTCCTAACAGCCTTCCTAAGACTGTGGGCTCCAGACTTGTCCAGAGGGAAACCATTTCTCCAGGTGCCAACCTGCAAAATGCCCTTTGTACTGTTGATTTCATTTCCCTATTTATTATTCCTAAAGTCAAAGTGCTGGTACAAATCTATTCTTTCCCTTATTGTCCTTTTCCCCTGCCTTCTGTCTCTTGTTTTAGGTTCCCTATATGTCTTTTCTTTCTTTCTCTCTCAAATCTTTTTGGTAGTCTATTATTTGTTTCTTTCTCTACTCTCCTTTTTTATTCTGAGCACGTACCTTATTTTTTCCCATTTCCTTTCCTTATAGTCTCATCTTTCTTTTCCTTTTTTTTTTCAAATGTCTTTTATTAGAGTGATCAACCTTCCTGATTTTCCCAGGACTGAAGAATTTCTCAAGATAGGGAACTGTCTGTGTTAAAGCTGGAACAGTCCCAGGTGGTCTGGCCTGGTTGGTCACCCTGTGCTGTGATTATTGTTCTAGCTCTCCAGCATTCTCTCTTTGGCATTTATCATCTTGGTATTTCACCCATGCATATTTGCCTCATGATGGAAAAGGGGGGAATAAAGAAAAGGAATAAGTAGACATAGATGAGTTATTCTTACATTATGGGAGAAACTGTACCAGAAAGCTCTGGAACTTTCCCCTTGTCCCTTCTGCAGTTGTTTTTGAAAAGCTTCCCAAAGTGCATAAATTCAAACAGGTACAGACCCTTGGTTTTTACACTTTCTCTGAAGCCTGACCTGCCGAGTGACCCAAACATAGAACAGGGCAACCTCTGACACAATTGATATTTCATTGAGTTGTTTCCTATGGTTTTGTTTTGGTTCTTGTTTGGTTATATGCCACTCACTTCAGAGTCATGGAGATTTCCTAACTTTTGGAAGGCAAAACTTCGCTGATTATGAATCACGTTCTTATGTTTTGATTATTTGTGAAGTTGTTTTTTTTTTTTTAAGAGTTATTTTAGGACTTTTGCCCTTGTGGTCTGGCAAGACGAATAACAGTAACAAATAGGATTAGACTTTTTTAAACTATTGGAGCCAGTTCTTTAAATGGCATTCTATACTGTCCCCATCATGCAAGTGGGCTGAGGAAATGAAGTTTTAGTTGTTATACTTACCTCTTATTCTCTGGTTGTGTTAAAATGGATGAAAAGAACTTCCTGTTCTATCTTAGCCTGATCTCTGCTATGATTTTATTGTACTTTTCAGTTAATAGACAATCAGCAAAGATAAATACTAATTTTTTGAGTTATTTATAACAACCAGCAACCTAATGGTTCCTGTTTAAAATTTGCTTTTAAAATCTTTATTTTCTCAAACTTATACAAATGAGACTCCATATGTCTAAGGCTTGCATATGATTAATATATAAACAATCCATAGCTAGGAGGACTATTTATATATAGGTAAAAAATTATGATGATAACAATATGTAATTAAAAATTTCACTTGAAAATCACTAGGAGTAGATTTTAAGTGTTCTTATCACAGAAAATGTATGTGAGGTGTAATGCATGTGACTTAGCTTGATTTAGCCATTCCAGAATGTATACATATTTTAAAACATCTTACTGTGTACCATAAATACATAAACTTTTTATTTGTCAATTTTAAAAAAGCTTAGCATTATTGGTGCATTTCAATAGCTTTTAGATTTGGAAATATATTCTAAAATATAGGCATTCTGTTAGAAATTTATTCCTGTAGTCATATCCAGGCAAGCACGTGCTAGTGTTAATACCTAGAAAACAAATAAACAAGGAGCCATTAAGAAATGATAATCCTGTGATGACTTTGCTTAATTATGGATTAGCAGTCCCCTCAGACAAGTATGTACCCATATGCAATGCGTGGATATTTGACGTAGTCGGCGTGGTGCTAGAGGCCAAGAAACGTTACATTTCATGATGTTCAGGAAAATCCTATATCCCATTATTATGTTTTTTAAATGTGTAAAGCAGAACTGAAATCTGTTTAAGGTTAGCAGGATTGACTTTATTAGTAAATTAGTGATATATTGACCCAAAATCCAGCAAAAGTGTGTGTATGTATGCTGTAGCCATTCAATACATATTTGTTGACTGTTGAATTAGAGGAAAGGGAGTGTGCTGATGGTGAGATAAAAGACAAAATGACACATTGAACAAGAAAATGGGATTTAAGAAATTTTTCTTAAAGTCTGTAAATTAAAGATCTGGTGAGGTCTTCCAATGTGTATAGAATGGAATAACTTACGCAACTTTTTTTGGTTTTTATTTACTGTGAACTTTGAACAGAACTCTAAAATCAGGCGAGTGGAATTATTTGAATCCCTTTAGGAAAATAATACCTGCCGTTTTCCCTGTAGTTCTATTATTTTAAGCCATCCAAAACATGATATATCACATCAGTTAAATTTTAATGTATAAATGATAAGGTTTTAACTTTTAATAAGTCATTTATGAACATGGTTTGATATATTCATTCTCTATGGCACAATACAGCAAAGTATGTGTTCTATGTGAGTATACTTATATCTACTCTATAGAACCTGGGAAATAATTTTATTATCTTAAAGTATTGTGAAGTTTTACCACACCTTCCCTTCCCTGGGATCTCTTTAACACTTTCTTCAAATAGCCCATTGATGGGCTATTCCTGCAACAATGTAGAAATCCTTTTTTTTTTTTAAGGGCAGAGAATATTTGGCAATTAGAAATCCTGTGGTTATCTCAGAACTATTATATGGAGCTCATATTAAAATTTTTGCATAATGGTTCACCATATAAAACATTTATTGAAGTATCAGTAAATGTTTGAGAAAATGAACCTATTATCTTCACGGTGGGTTATTTATGTAATTGTTTTCTATTTTATTTTTCATTTTGTTTTTGTTTTGTAAGTTATATTTTTTTTAAATAAAATTTTGCACATTGATTGATTTATGGTGAGACTAGTCTGTACTGTTTGAACATTGACCTTTAAGTTTTATCAATATAGTCATCCTCTTGATTGGATAGATAACCATGATGTTTAATAATTACAGATCTTCCCTGGCTGTTCACTTTTAATGTGAAGTTTTATCCTCCTGATCCTTCTCAGTTGACTGAAGATATCACCAGGTACTTTATAGTCGCACTTTTACATGAACCTTTCCTTATAGCTGTCATTTATTTCTGTGCCCTGGGAGCGTAGTGGTTAATTTCAGAATTGAAAACAAAAACAATTATTCATAAATTAAGTTTTCGTGGTTTCCTTGGACATGGGTACGCCTAATTAGTTTGAAATGTTGCCAATTTCAAAAATTTTATTCACTTTCTTTAACTTCCTTATATATATTTGAGTAATGACAATTTAAAAAATGATATTATTGGCAACTTTGTTTCCTATGTTATGCTTTAAAAAGTCACTGATATTTAATATTTCAGATTTTAATACTGATGATTTTTATTGTATAACTCATGTGCCTGTGCATTAGTCTCATATTACAAAGATGAGATAAAGGTAGAAAAATGAAATTATTTTTAAAAACCAATTGAACTAGTAATTTTGTTGTCCCCTCCTACCCAACCTCACCAAAACCACCAAAGTAACGAAGTAGGCTTTCTCATGTAGAGTCGATAGCTATCTCATTTCTGTCTTCTCTGAGATCGTATGGGCTATAAGAACATACACTTAAATTGCAAATAAAGGATTCAGTTTAGGAGCAAGAGAACATTTACTGGTTCTGAGTATTTGAACGATAACTAAGAACGTTGTGAATCAACAAATACCTTGAAATCTTAGCCCTATTAGATTGGGTACCAGTGATAGGATATCTTAGCTTTGGTAGGAGTAAGCATAAAAAGTGTTTTCTTTTTTTTTTTTTGTAAGGGTGATTTTTATATACAGTATTTTTAAAAGGCTGTTTACATGGCCAAGGACAACTGTGTGCAGTATATGTGCTTTCGGGAAACTAGAGAGTCTTAGTGAAAGACTCTGCTTATCTTTGGTTCCTGTGTCTTAGCTGCTCTGCTAGGCCAGTTTTGTTGTCAGACATCAAGTTATAGAGGTGCTTAAAAGAGTGCATAATGACCATGTGAAATAGGAATGATAGAGATTTCTTTCCAATATTGGATAAATGGCAGGCCTTTTTCTTCCTCTGCTACTTGTTGCTGAATAGGAATGTACTAATTAAGCTCTGATTGAATTAGCTTCAGCTAGTAAATAATAAATAGTAGCTTTTGTAACTGCACAGTGAGCTGCCTAGAGCATAAAACCTGACTGGTTGGCATGTGTAGGATGCAGAGCTTCACTGCAGGAGTGCCTGGAGTGCCTTTGAACAGTGCATGTAAATGGGGCTTTGTGACCCAGAGCCCTCTCTGTACATATGCTCCTTCTTGCAGTAATTTGTTTTGGGGATAATAATCCTTTAGTGACTGCAAGTTTATAGCATGAGTAAGTGCTTTAGTTTTCTGTATAAATGGAGATTGAACCGTCTGCCTGTCTGTAGTGGGAGGAATGATATCGTTTGCTAAGCTAACTAAAGGTCTTAGTGGTGCAGCTTGAGAACAGCCACCTGCCTGTACTTGTGGCCTGGCAGCTTCAATATCACAGGTGAAATATTCACCAGGACTTGAGTTAGCATTTAGAAGACAAACATTTTGAGGAGGGCAAGAACACTATTTGGGGAAAGCTTTGAAGAATGCTTCGTAGTGTTGTGTGAAGAAGATGGAGTTGGAAAATTCAGCAAGCTCTTGCCATTTTTGTCTGAAGTTATTAGGGCTTAGACTTAGGCTTTGAAAATAGAGGAAAGGACCAATGTGAAAAGTAGAGACAATAATATAAAAAGGAGCAATAAGATGGAATCCTTGTGATTAAAAATGTGGAGAACTAGTACTATTACTGATTAGAGAATTTGAGGACAACCTGGAGCCATAGTTTAAAATTTAGTTTTCTAAAGTGTAATTATGCTCGTGTTGCTCTGCGGGTTAAGGAAGCATAATCCTCCTTAAAAAGAGAGCTCCTGCAGTGCATAAATACCCAAATATAGTGACAGTGAGAAGACTTAAATTCTCTCAGAAAATTATTTAGTATTTGCCATGCAACAAGTACTTTGCTAACTGGGGGACTATGATGATGATAAGCAGAGTCCCTGCCTGGTGATAGATTTTCAGTGGTAATCTAGGTATAACCGAACTGCCCTGGAACCCATGTGCTGGGTTGTGCTCTCTGACCCAACCACAATGAGGCCTGGACCAGAGGCCAGCACTCCCCATTTGATCATGTTGGGGAGAGAGCAGGAAGAGGATTGTGTTTAAAGAGGCCAGGCCAGGCAGAAATGTCCACAGGAAGAATGTCCATGGGAAGAAGGTGGCCAGCCGCCAATAGTAATGGCAGTCTCCAAATGATCTTCAAGAATGAGGGCACTGCCACTGATTTCAGAGGGATGGGTGGTGACCTTAGCAAGTGGTGAAATTCGAGAGTGGAAATCAGGTTTTAAAATGTCACCAAAAGGAATCCATAGTGGGGCTGAAAAGAAAAAAATCCCTATAGACCTTAAATCTCATGTTTCTGCATGTTACTTAGTGGAAAACAGAAATTCTTTTATATTTATATAGTAAGCCACTTGGAACATTGAATGAGAATAATTAGAATAATTATTATTATTATTATAGCCAGTAATTATTATAGCTGCCTAAGTTATCGATTCCTAGGCATCATGCCTGGTATCTTATTTATATTATCTGATTTTTACCCTTACTTTCAAAAGGAGATAAATTTCATCTTATCTTACAGATAAGAAATTCTCCTTAAGCAAGTAAATTAACTGGCACTGAGTCATGTAGAGTCAGCTCTTCCTGGCTCCAGATGCCATGCTTTTTCTACTAAACTGAGCTAGCTGCCTCTTTAGATGGAGTAAGTGGACAAGTAAGGGCTTCAAAGTAGAGATTTACTTATAATTGTTGTTAAACGTATTTTGGAAAAGGAGAAATTAATATGAAGTAGGTAGAGATGATAAAGGGGGGGTAACCTTAGCTTTTTTTTATTTTTAAAATTTCACTAATCTTTACAACTTTTGAGGGGTATGCTAATTTTTATTAAAATTTTAAATCCAAGGAGTTTAAGTGATTAAAATTTTTATTTCAGTCACAAAACTCTTTATTATAATAGTAATCATAGACTATTACCAGAATTATCAGAACAACAGTTCAGAGTTTCCATTCTATTAATTAGCCTTCTGGACTCAGTTTCCATAAATAAGCCACAGGTATAGGAGCCCAAGGAGCAAGGTGAGGCTTCTTAGAGAAAACTGGTTTTGCTATGGAAAGGAAGAGTGCCTATATTGTATATTTGTTTTCAAAAGGATGTTAGCATTTAAGGATTATAAATGCTGCAATCTTAACTAATTGTTCTCTCTGGCCCTTTTCTCCCTCTGTTCCTCACAGATACTTGTTGTGCCTTCAACTCCGGCAGGACATTGCCTCTGGCCACCTGCCCTGCTCCATTACAACTCATGCCCTCCTGGGATCCTACACACTGCAGGCTGAACTTGGAGACTATGACCCAGAAGTGCATAGCAACATTGACCTCAGCGAATACCAGTTTGCCCCCACACAGACTAAGGAGCTGGAAGAGAAGGTGATAGAGCTGCACAAAACCCACAGGTTTGTTGCCTTGCTTCCTAAAGAGAGAATGGCCATGGTAGATTTAAGTAGCATCTCTTGTAACACTTGCTGGACATTTGAGCATAGTTTTGGGGATTATTCAGTTTTCCTTTTGGAGCTTCACCCAGCGCTGATCAAGACAACCTGACCCTTTGCGATATCCTTTCATTGTTTTTATGACTGTAATATAAGGACCTATGCTCATCAGAGTAAATCCTTCATTTATTGGATAAATGTACTTTTCCCTATGAGATCTCCTTTTCCCTACCCCCATCCCTTAACATACACACACTGGAAATAAATATACCCACATACGTAAGTGGCATTTACTTTATATTTCTTCTGCCTTTTAATTGTTTTTATTACTATGTTTGATAAGAAAGCCAGGGAGATAATGAAGCATTGGGGTTTGAATTAGAAATGTAGGTGGTGATGGATGTAAGAACAGCAACAGAAGTATGCAGGTGGGGCCGAGTGTGGTGGCTCACGCCTATAATCCTTGCACTCTCGGAGGCTGAGGCTGGAGGGTCACTTGAGGGTCAAGAGTTTGAGACTAGCCTGAGCAAGAGGGAGACCCCATCTGTACTAAAAATAGAAAAATAAGCCATGTGTGGTGGCACATGCCTGTCGTCCTAGCTAGTTGGGAGGCCGGGGCAGGAGGATCACTCAAGCCCAGGAGTTTGAGCTTTGCAGTGAGCTATGATGGCGCCACTGCACACTATTCTAGGCAACAAAGTGAGACTCTGTCTCAAAAAACAAAACAAACAAACAAAAAAATCCCCAGAAATGTGCTAGTGGTTCCACTATCTACAGAAGATGACCCTTTAGCTTAGCTAAGGATTACTTAAATTATTTTAGTAATTAAATACCATAGAGTTTTTATAACCCTAGCTACAAAATTATAATTTGTTCTGTATTGCAAAATTGTAGTTTTATAACATATTAACTAAATGATCTGAAAGGAACTTTTAAGGATTAGAAGGTTTTAAACAGGCTACATTCATTGACTTTTCTTTTAAAAAATGCAATATTTCACTCTAAATATTTTCTTATTAATGTCACTTAAATTTTAAACAGACATTTATTATATAATTCTAATATGAAATGTCAGATACTGAAATGCATTGGGGAATATGAAGATTAATGGGACATGGTCCTGTTCTCTAAGAGCTTAAAATTATTTAGTTAGGGATAAAGATATGAATGGAAATAATTTTAGTATGGACAGAATGTGATATGTGCTATCATAGGGGTAAAATCAAATGCAAATAATTGTGATCTTTATTATGATCAATCCTAGTAAAATAAAAGGAGTGAGAATTTGCCTATCTCAGAAAGATGAAATCACTGTTTTTTATTTTCAGTTAACTTATGATATACCCATTATTGCTGTGGCTTTTTCCCCCAGTGGGAATAATAAAAATCAACTCTTTAAGACTAAAATGGTAAGGGTGGAGGGTATACCTCATTACAATTGGCAGGTTTAGATTGGAGGATATTAAGAGAAAAATACCAGAGGTTGAGAGTTGAGTCTTTTTACCTTTTTGCTACTCTTCTGCTAATTTAGCTGGGTTACTTCCTCTATCCCAACTCTCCAGGCTTAGACACCCTTTCCCTCATTTTGACCACATTTGCTTTGTACCCACCAATAAGATAATACTGTTTTTTTTTGATTCTCAGGGGCTTATCTCCAGCACAAGCTGATTCTCAGTTCATAGAAAATGCAAAGAGACTTTCCATGTATGGTGTGGACCTACATCATGCCAAGGTACTATCAATGTAACAGAAAGTGGCATCATTGCAGTCTGTTCACTGAAGTTCTGAGAGGGCTCCAGTTTCAGAGTGGCCTAGTTCGTTTTTGGGAAAAGGCTGTTTGCCTTCACTTGAGGGTCTCTGTAATATTTCTTTGACTAATCATGGGGTTTATGGTTGTGGGAGGAACCATTTGTTCTCCCCCTACTTCTTCTTTTCCCAGTCTTTTAAATTAATACCTTTTCATGGATACTTATCCTAAGACACACCTTGTCAGCCTTCTTTACCCCTTACCTAGGTTTATTCCCAGTAACTGGTGTCCCAGTTTCTGCTAGGTCAAGTGCTGTGTCTGTCCCAGCTCCCTCTCCCACCTTTGTATTGACAGAGGGGAGCAGATCTTAGCAACTATAACAGGGCAAAAGTGGTGTGGTTATGACCACTTCCAAAAAGCTTCTGGGTTGTGAAGGAGCCCTAAACTTGGGCTTTTTCCTGTAGGTCTGTTTTGTACTTTGTGAACGATAAAGCAGGCTGGCCCAGGCTCTAGGTGATGAAGCACCTTTAGTCTGACTGCTGGCAAAATAACGGAATAATGGACATACAGAGAGCTGATCATGATCTTGAAAGACACAATCCCGAATGCCATAGTCCTGAAAAATCAAAATCCTGAAAATAAAATTCCTGAAAAAATACTTTGAAAAATTCTTTAAAAGACATTTATTTACATTTTTTAAAGGGGGATTCATTTGAGAAATACAAAAACATAACAGAGCACTTTACATAATAAAATAGGCAATAATGTACACATTTTTGTGAGCGTAGATACTCAGGTATGCTAGTGGCAGTCACATGGGTATAATAACAGTTATGACTAGATGAACACTATTCATAAAGAAATAGGTCAGAAAGTGAAATCTGTAAATGCACATTAGTATGGTTGGTTGCTAGTAACAAACATCACCGACTTCATGATTCTACCTTAGATAATTACATAGTGGGGAGAGTCAAGGAAGAAAAGGGAGAAGCAAGGTGAAAGATGGATTTGGTTTTGAAAAATGTGTCCACAGTGAACTCAACATACTGTGAAGCCTGCAGTTGCTGCTTTTTAAAGACCCTACCAATTCCTAGATACAGTTTAGAAACCCAGATTATATGATTTGGGAAATCTCTAGGAAAGCCCCCCACTCAAAGATAGTGTTCCTCCTTAAGCCTTAGATAAATAATTCTTGCATGTTCATAGTATAAAATAGAGGCAAACAGAAGAAAATAAAAATCACTTAAATCTCTTTATGCAGAAATAAGCACTGCGAATATTTTGATACATTTTCTGTTTTTTTTTTTTTTTTTAAATATCTTTGAGCAGTTGAATTCTCATGCCTTCCTAAAAGGGGGTCATACTACGAGTATCATTTTTTTAGGCCTTTTTTTTTTTTAATTTGCTATTATAAACATTTTTCCATGTCAGTAAATAGTGTCTGGCAGCATCATTTTTAATTATTAGATGCCTTTAATTTTTAAAAATATTTTCACAGACACCATCTCATTTAAAATTTAAATATTTTTATTTTACAGCTACATAGAGCAGAATACAGAGAATGACTTGCTTAAAGCCATATATTACTAAGCAGTCCCATCTGCCTGATACCTTCTAATAAATCCTCCTAGGAGGTGAAACAGATCGTCCTAACATTTGAGTGTTTTTCAGGTCATTTTCTACATGATGGGGACAGGCTGGGTTAGCCAAGAAACAAATTAGGGAGGAAGGAGAGAACAGATTTCAGACCAAAAAGGCCTCCCAAGCCCATCTCTCCTTCTCTAAAGCCTGCTATTCTTGCCACATATAAATCTTGCATCTCTCTGCCTTGTTGATCATTAGTTAGAAACCAATTTTTAAATGGCAATGTTTCAAGGCTTCGGGAGTCTTGTTTTTAAATGTTATATCTTAGAAAAATAAAGTCATGGGCTGTGTTATAAGTATAATGTCAGTTCTTGCTGTGTAGTTAGGAGCAGAACACTAAAAAGTTTCAAAATAACCTTCATTCTGTTTATTATCTGATTGACTTATTATATAATATCTGATAAGTAAGATATTTGTGGCTTATTGAAAAGATTATCTGCCGCAATTTAAAAGAGGTCTTCATGTAGTTTAAGGTTTGGTGCCTTTATATTGTCTTGAGATCAGGTTTATTTATTTTTTTATTAGACGATTTCTTAACAGTACATTCATGTTAGGATGAGTTGAATAAAAAGACTCTTGGCAAAGGTGCAGGAAAACCACAAGAGTAGTGCAACACCCATGGTCCCCCTGGGCTGGTGTCAGCAACCCTCTTAACCTTTCTGGTCTGAAGGAGGAAGGGCAGACTGGGTACCTGAACCCATAAGGACAGATCTGTGTGGAGATGTCTGTCTTGAGAGGAGCCACTGTCAGAAGGACACAGCCAGCCTGATGCGACCATGCAGGGAGGGAATCTGGGTATGAAATACCCTGACCTTCCTTCCCTTCTTCTCCGTGATCTTTTGCAAGAACTTTCTATGTACTGAACCCATTTGGAAGCCAGCCGTCCTGGGATCCGGTTGCTATCCACATGAGGCAGCTTCCCGGGGCAGTGAGCAAGGCAGAGAAGGTGTTTCTTTTTATTACGTTATTTTTCCGCCTTTGTTGCTGAGTGGCATAACTCAAATATGGAAGGTTAAGGCATGCTTGTTCCCTTTCACGTCCTCCCCTTCATCTTTACTTTCTACTCATGCAAATACTGATAATCATAAAACAATTATGTAGAACACCACCAAAATCAACCGATTTACTTGAATTTGGGTTGTGTTTATTTTTAAGTCAGATAAAATAGCTTCCTTGTCCTGTCCAAAGATTGCTTCAGACTAGAGTTGTCTTGTTCAATGTTTCAAACATGGGTTGCTTCCTCGCTTGTGGCGAGAGCATGCCGTCTCAGGCAATCTTCCGCCTTGCTCCCTGTGGCCACGGGCAGTGATGGTTTTGGCAAACACACCGTATGGGTCTGGCGCCAAGTTGCTTGGGCACCTGCGCCTGATTCACCCCAGCTTTTTATTCTATTCCTAGAGAGAGTTGTGGCTGCCAGGATAAGGGTGAGTAAAGCAGTAGATTAGATTTTTTTAAAACCTGCTCAGGTTGATCTAATGTAATTTTATTTGTGTGTATCAATTATTCAGGTATCACAACAGAGAAAACAATTGGCATCAATTACCTAGTACTATACTTTTATTTTTAAAAAACTCTTACAAATTGTGTTGAATTATTCTTTCTAATAAGGCAGTCAAAATATTACACTTTTATTGAATTGAGACTTAGACTGAATATGGTGTTTGTTTCAGCATTTTTTATGAGAATTTGTTTCATGTTGTTAATGATCTCTGAGAATGTGAATGTATTTGAATAGTATTCTTCAGTTTCATACATCTTGAATGACATCCAGTTCTTCCCTTAAAGATAAACAATGATTTGTATATTTTGAATATTGTGCATCTTAGATCCTCAGCCCTACTTGAAATGTGAGGAGACAGTTTCTCACTTTTCCCTGTAAATGTATTTGGTTTTTAAAAGGTCTTTCAGGCTTGTGATTATTCTAGATTGTCATCTATTTTAAATTAGAGCCCTGGGGAAGTAAAACTATTAATAACTTCAATAATAGTCTGCAGTCCTTTGAAATATGCCAGTCAAAGGAGTGCTTAATGAGAACTGGATGTGAGCACTCTGACTTACTGAAAAACTGCTTGAAAGAATTCAGAGATTTCAACACTGTCAGCCTAGAAGAGAAATTTTCTGTGGGGCATTCGTGCTTTGCAAAATATTGGCATAATTTTAACAGCTATTAGCTAGGGTAGTGCACCTGAGATAAATTGGCCTAAAGTAAAATGGTTGAACACACCTGAGACAAATTGGCCTAAAGTAAAATGGTGGGCCAACAGACTGTTTCTGAGGGCTGGAATAGCCTTCAGGAAAGTACATTTTATCTCCCTTATCTTCAGGATATTTAATCTAGTTGTTTCCTTTCTTCCCTGTTAGCTCTTACAACAGAGCTTCAGAATATATGCATTATGCCTTTTGAAGAATATTGTGTCCTATGGTCATGTTGCCATAACTCTTTGGTAAATCAAATCTGATCCTTGAGGGTGCGTAGATTTAACATGTGCATCTGCCCTGCTGTTTCCGTTAGCTTGTGTACTGTCAGTAAAATTTAAATACAAACCTTGTTAAGTTGGCATTCTTGGTTTGAGGGAGCTAATTAGCTTCTCCATCCCATAACTTTCACAGCTCTAACCATGATTAATTGGGTTATGCTTGGCAGGACTCAGAAGGCGTGGACATCAAGCTGGGTGTGTGTGCTAATGGCCTCCTCATTTACAAAGACAGACTGAGAATCAATCGTTTTGCTTGGCCAAAAATCTTGAAGATTTCCTATAAGCGCAGTAACTTCTACATTAAAGTCAGGCCTGCAGAGGTAAGCAGTGTCCTGTTGCCCTGGTATATCTAATTAGTAGTGTCAGTGTGAACCTTTACAGCCTTGAGCTAAGTGAATTCTTTCCCACTAAAATTTTAAGAAAATGAACTAGTCTTTATTCCATGGTAAAAAGGTCAGGGTTCTTCTTGATAAACCTGCACATACATATTTCTCTTGCTAAAAAACAAACACCTTTTACAGAAAAGAAGTACTAAATGCCTGGCCCTTAGTGGGGGCTCATTTTTTCTCGTTGAATCAATTAAGTGGTGGAGAGAATAGGAGGGTGATAAAAATGAGTTTTAGTGGACATTGAAGGATAGTTGGTTTATGTTGAACAGTTGATACTTGTTTTTCATTGAAAATAGTACTATAGTCTCTGAAAAATTCATTTTGTATGATTATATTAGATATACAATATTTACCTTTTTCAAGAAGAATTCCTTCTTGCAGAAACATCTGAATCCGTGTTTTTCAGTAATTTCTCATCAGCTCTTAAGGGAATATGCTGACTTGTTTTGTGGATTTATTCCAGATGGAACAGTTCGAGAGCACCATTGGATTCAAACTGCCAAACCACCGGGCAGCCAAAAGGCTATGGAAAGTGTGCGTGGAGCATCACACCTTCTACAGGTAATTTTAGGAAAATAGTGTGGTATTGCTATTGGCAGCCTCCATGGACTTGCAGGTGGTAGTGATGGATAGTGTGATAGGTACATCCGCCCCCTGCCCTTGGGTTTCTGCTCTCCTCTGTGCCATGTCTCCTTTGTCTGCGGTACCCTCCTTGTCCATTTCTGTAGCCTGAGGCCACACCTTGTCCTCACTCAGACCTGAGCTGCCTCTGCAGTTGTTCAGAACTCCATGTCCTGACTTGAACCACCTTTTTCCCCACCACGACCACACTGCCCTGCTCCTTCTACCATTCTTCTCTCCACTGTCGCTCATCTTAGGTTCATTTAGATGTTCTAATCAGCCCCCTCTTGGCTTAACTTCTTTCCCAAACCAGCCTGAAGCCTGTGGTCTGGCCCCATGGCTACTTTGTCAGCAGTGTCCTAACCCCTTCTGGCCCCTCTCTTCTCAGCACATCTGCCTTCCCAGTCTGTTAGTCCTGGATGAGTCTTGTGTCCTGACCTCACTTCTTCTGTACTTGTGAAGTGCTACCTTAAATAGCACAAGTATTGCGACACATGCAAATATTCTTTATAAAAGAAAATAGCACAACTCTGTGGATTAGTGCTATTACAGGTAAATAATTTCCAGCATCAGCTGGATCCTCTCTGCTACTGGGCAATCAGTCTTTTTACTTCCTTTGCCATTCCAAATGTTCATGGCCATCTTGAGTCACTGGGTGCCCCTGCCACTCTCCTCTGATGCCCTCCGTTGTGTGGTAGAAGCTGTGGGTCATGAGTGTTCTCAGTGTCATGCACTTTCTCTTTTTCCCCTTTTTCCCCTTTCCCCCTAACTAAGCATCATTACTCCTCCCAACCCCCAGTCATTCTTTCCCTCCTCCCCTGTCTTGAGGAGAAGATAGCCGTCCTCTGCTTTGGTCCCTCACTTCATGCTTCACAAAGGATCCTGCTTTGTAAATTGTTTATTCCCCAGTGGGTGCCTTTGGCTTCTTCGGCCGTTAATATGTCCATGTCTTGCTCCTTTAAAACTAAAAACCAAAACCAAAAACAAAAAACTCCCTTACTACCGAGCTTGTGTCCTGTCTTCTTTTGTACTTTTCTTTAAGGGCATATTTTTTATGCTCAGTTTGCTTATCTTTGTTTTCTCCATTTCCTCAGTTTCCTATCACTGCACTCTGTAGGGCTGTGTGTCTAGACCATTCATCTGTAAAGTCTTTGCTCTGGACTTAGGGGCTGATGCTGTTCCACCATATACTAGCTATGGGACTGCGGTAAGTGACTTGGCTTCACTTTCTTCATCCACAGGTGATGGATGTTCTGAAAATCAAATGAGATAACACAGACAAACTTAGAACCATTTCTAGTGTATTTTAAGGTTTATCTTCATCACTATTCTTAGTTTGTTACCACAATTTGCTATTTTTAAAGTGAATTATCAGCTGGCACAAATAACTCCTTCTTGAAGTTAAGTTGACCAATATCTATTTTCAAGACTGATATATTCATTTTAGAGAAGAAATATAAAATGAACTTGAATCCATTTGACTCAGTTACACTGATCATATAAATCTTCGAAAAGTTTATAATTTCTCTTGGTAGCCATGATGAACTTCTCCTTGATTCAGCATGAACCTGCCTCCTATAAAGCTAGTAGATGACATTTATGACACAGGTCTAAGCCAGACAGCAGCTTTTCCTGTCAAATAATGGTAATAAAAGCAATAATTCTTTTAAAAATAACAAGTGCTAACATTCATCGAGCATTTATTGTTATCAGACACGGAATCGATTGGTTTATATCACAGTAATTTATTTATTTCTCACCCCAGGCAAGGAAGCTAGTGCTTAGAGGAGGTGCCTGCAGAGGCACACAGCGGCCAGGCACCTGAGCAGAGGCAGGGACCCAGCTCTCTGATCCTAAAGCCCACACTCCTCACCTCTGCACTGTCCTTTTCTTACATTCTTCTAGCAGGAGTTTCTGAGATGTGTTCAGCCCGGTAAAGCCTTAGTCCCCTTCATTATTTTTGCTAACGTACCAGGGACTCCAATTTAAAAGTAGACCAATTTGCTCCTGCAAACTTTTGAGATAATGGTTAACAAAATCTCTCTTAAATTTTAAAACCTTGTATAACATTGCTAACAAAGCAATATAAAACAGTTTATCTAACACAGAAAGGGCAAATCATACTTTGTCTACAGAGTGCTTTGAATCAGATCAGCAGATTTTGTTCTGTTTTAGAAAAGGTGCAAATGAATTTTTTAGAAAATTACAGTGGCTTGCCGATTGAAGCCATTAACAAATAAATAGATCTTTCTATTGATTGATAGATAGCCAATCAGCTAGGCTATTAGTGGAATGAAAATATAATAATAAAGCTGCTACCTTTGTGTGGGTATTTAATTGAGCCTGTCACCGTTCTAAGTGCTATACAGGGATTAAATCTTTTAAGCTTTACAACAAATCTTACAGGACATGTGCTATTATCTTCACTTTACATTTGGAGAAACTGAGGAACAGGGGAGTTAAGAAACATGCCCAGGGGTCCTATAGATAGTAGCTGGTGGAGATGGGATTCAAACCCAGACAGAGTGGCTCCAAGTGCCTGTAAGTGTATTCACTGTGTTACACTGCCCGGTTGTATTTGCAGCAGATGTGCTTCCTTGTATTCTTCCCAGTGCTTATGTTGTTGTTCTCACTGGTGTGTAAACTAGAGGTTAACACGATATTCTTGTAGCTTGACGTTAAACTACCACTTAAACTTGACATCGTAGAACCAGAGTCATCCCAAATGTGTTAGTGTCCTCAGTGGCTGATTCATAGAGAGCCTTGTAGAAGCATTTCCACTAGTTAAATATATGATTAACTTTAGTAATTGTTAAGTGGGTTTTTCTTAAATGTTCCTTTATATTCTATAGATAAACATTGATGATATTTGATGTATAATGGCAAGATTTTAAAAAATTAAAATGTTAATATACTTAAGTAGTAAAATATGTAAAACTTGAATTCCTTTTTGATGCATCACTGATGCTTATCTTGCTCAAGGCCTTTAATACTCTCTGTAAAGGTTAGTCTTTTTTTGTAGTTTTTATATTCTCCAAAGTGAAATGGTAGATGTCTTTTAGTGGTTTTGATGTTATTCTTACAAAGATAGGGTCTTGTAGCAAGGTTAAATTTCTGCAGTTCCAGCATTCTAATTTAAGAATATGTAGCTCTTCCCAAAGTACAGTTGGAGGCACTGGCCATTGGCAACTTGTAGCTTCTCAGCAGCATCATCTACATTTCCTTTGAAAATCAAGAAACGCTTCTACCCCACATGAATAGATTTAAGCCAAGAAAGCCAGAGTGTGTTAGTTTGTCTTTTATCAGTTCAGTTCTGTTCATGCTGTTTTTCTGGGTGGATAGAGTTGACAGAGGGTTGGTTCTCGTATTTATTACATCATGAATCACCTTGACTTCGAACTCTTCATTGTTTCATTGCAGAAGATTTCTAAAAAACTGTACAGAAAGTCTAGAAATACTTGAAATGGTAAAGAGCTCTTTAAGAAATCTCTCTTCCTTGGCAAATAATAGGAAAAGTTTTGGTGGAGTTCTTCATTTTCTTGAATTATCAACTGAAGTCTTTTTTATTTAATAAATTCTAAAAGAGCTCTGAGATTATCTTTCTGTTAAGACATTTTGTCAACTCTTGATCAGAGAATGAAAGCAAGACAATTTCAGTTGTATTCCAAAAGAGATTGGCTCATTTACTAAAAACATGCTTTTGCATAAGTCTGGAAATATTTGACATCAAGGAAATTTGACTTCATTCATTATGAACCCAGGGCTTAGGCAGTAGAATTGTGCTGACAAGAAGGGATCTTAGTCATCGCCACAGATCAACTGTGTGTTGTGTTCTTCATGGGAAAGAATCACTTGATGGAACAGATTCCTGATTTACATGTTTTTTTCCCAGAAGAAATAGGCGTAAATATTAAGAATTACTAATGGTAATGGATTGCTACTTGGCATTTATAGCTAGGAACAAGAATTCAGACATATGTGTTTATATAAATGATTTAAGTGAATACAAATAAATAACCTTTGATACACACTGAGAACAGCTGCTCCTTAGGTTGAGAAAAACATATTATTCATGAATACATGAATGTAGATTTACTCATCACTATTATAAAGCTGTGTATGTAGGAGGGTTTATAATGTTCTTTTTTCATTAGAAAGTTTAGGTAGCATTGTTTTTGAGATATTAAAATACATAGATTTAAAGTTTGGTATTTTTAAAAATGTCCATAAAGTCTAATTTTGCTCCTTTGGGTTTTTTTTTTTTTTCTTTTCTTCATTTTCCCTACAGGCTTGTGTCTCCAGAGCAGCCACCAAAGGCCAAGTTCCTGACCTTGGGGTCCAAATTCCGCTACAGCGGCCGCACCCAAGCACAGACCCGCCAGGCAAGCACCCTCATAGATAGGCCGGCACCACACTTTGAGCGCACATCTAGTAAACGAGTCTCCAGGAGTCTCGATGGAGGTAAATATGTTTATAATACTTTTGGATTTCAGTTATTTTTCTCTAATCCAATGAGGTTAGAAAATGTCGATCTAGTTAACAAGACTACCGGAGATACCCTAGAGCAGTGGTCCCCAACCTTTTTGGCACCAGGGACCATTTTCATGGAAGGCAATTTTTCCACAGATGACGGGGTGGGGGAAGACATAAGGGACGGGGAGAGGATGGTTTGGGGATGATTGAAGTGCATTGCATTTATTATGCAGTCACACCTCTCGGCTAATGATAATCTCTATTTGTAGCCACTCCTCAGTGCTAGCATCACTGCCTCAGCTCCACCTCAGATCATCAGACATTAGATTCTTATAAGGAGTGTGCAACCTAGATCTCTCGCATGCTCGGTTTACATAGGATTCACTCTCCTGTAAGAATCTAATGCTGCGCTGATCCGACAGTAGGTGGAGTTTATGTGGTGATGCGTGTGATGGGGAGCGGCTGTAAATACAGATGAAACTTTGCTCACTTGTACTCCGCTCACCTTCTGCTGTGCAGCCCGGTTCCTAACAGACCACGGACCAGTACTGGTCTGCAGCCCAGGGGTTGGGGACCCCAGCAGTAGAAGCATAGCCATTTTTTTCTGAGTAAATAGAATGCTGTTACTTACAATCAGAAGAAAATAATTTTGTAGTGCTTTGAAATTGTCATTCTGAATATACATTTTTTTTTTTTTTTTGGTACAGGTCGAACATCCCAAATCTGAAATCCAAAGTGCTCCAAGATCTGAAACTTTTTGAATGCCGACATATGTTCAA